TTCTCACGAGGGTGAGTAATTAATGACAGAATTTTCATTTTTGGGTGAACTAACCCTTTAAATGTAAACAGAAATGCTTGAAATCCTTCGACACCAACTGGCAGTAACATTAGAAATAAGAGAAAATACTAAAGTATAGTCTCTACCAGGGGTGCCCAAACTCGGTCCTGGAGGGCCGGTGTCCTGCAGAGTTTAGCTCCAACCCTAATCAAAATTTCCACGCTGTATTGTTGATGTCTTTCCGCGGTTGAAACACTGATTGAGCAATTACATGAGGCATGAGATGTTCAGTCATGTTTATTCGCGTTAAAACTAGTAGTACAGAGGAAGGAATGACCGCGTTCACTCGCGCTCCGCTCTGCACAAATCTGCGGGGCGTCACGGCTCAGACACCGGAACCGGAGCTGATCGCGGCCGCTCTAGTCAGTGCTTGTGTTGGGATTATACCAGCACGTTTCTGAACCGTCCCAGAAGCGGCTCTCCAAGGCGTTTATACAGCGATCTGTCATGCCACATCAAAGACTGTCAAAACGCCATTTATTATTTGAATTTCCGGAGGAAAAAAAAAAAAAACTGTATTCGTTCGGTTCACATGCGTACCGAACCGAAAGACCCGTACCGAAACGGTTCGGTACGAATACGTGTACCGTTACACCCCTAGTATTTAGTCATTTGGCTTTTATCCCATGAAACCCATTGGGTTTGCGCTGTTGTACTGAACAATTAATTATGTGTTGGATCTTTAATGCTGCAATATGTCTACAAGGATGGTTTGTACTCGAGCTCCCTATAGAAGCTCAGAACAGAACATTTCTTGCATAGCGAGAGCCTGAGAGGAAATCCTGCCGCAGGGAACCGTGTGCCAACTGGGGTCACAGTGTGGGAGGAAAACACTCTCAGAGAGGAGAGAGACAGAGAAGAGGAATGCCACCCACCCACCGCTTCTGTGCCAAAGACGCTTTTGCTTCCTCACACACGCTTTGAACATTTCAAACAATATCTCCCGACACATGAAATATGTCTGCTGCTCGTGTTATCTGTTGGTTTGTGTAGACAGCGTGTAGAAAGGTTAAATTAAAGTAGGGATGCACAGATACCGATTCATGATTCCAGATTCCAGTCCAAGATGAAAGTTTAAAAGGTTTTAAAGGGGGTCATACAATAGAAAAAAATACAACTGCTGTTTTAAAATAAAAAGTGTTAAATTTATCAAGTTCTGTAGACGTACTCCAACCAATCATAGACATAATCTATCCTTCATTCATTCATTCTAACATTAGGCAATAAATCACCATGATCTTGGCCTAACAACCATATTATCACTTATATAAGACTTGTTGATGCATTTTCAGTGAACTAGGCCTAAACCTTTAAATGCTAAATCTAACAGCTTCTAAAACAATATGTAATTTTCTCAGGCTGCCTGGCGGACATCTCGGCATGGATGAAAGAATATCACCTACAGCTCAACCTGGCAAAGACTGAGCTTCTTGTCTTCCCTGCCACTCCAACTCTACAGTATGATTTCTCCATCCAGCTTGGTTCTTCTACAATTTCAGCACCTGCCTACTTCCACTCACTACTACGAATCTACATCCCCACCAGAAGTCTGAGATCCTCTAGTGAGCGACGCATCGTGGTACCATCACAGAGAGGCTCAAAATCACTTTCCAGAACATTCTCGTTCACCATTCCTGGCTGGTGGAACGATCTTCCCACCCCTATCCGGAATGCTGAATCCCTGACAATTTTCAAGCGACAGCTGAAAACTCATCTCTTTCGAAGCTACTTGACTTCATCATCATAAAAATTTTTTACAAAAATTCTCTCTCTTTATTTATTCCTTCTCTTTCTAGCTTGTACTTATTTGAACAATGTCTAGAAACTTGGTATTACAAGCACTTCCTGTATCTGTTTGCCTCTTTAAGAAGAATCGCTTTATGTATCCCCCAATTGTAAGTCGCTTTGGATAAAAGTGTCTGCAAAATGACTAAATGTAAATGTATATGTAATTTAAAAACCTCTGAAAGGGAAAGCACATGCACTACTGTTTAAAAGTTTGAGTCGGTAAGATTTTTTTTATGCTTTTGAAAGTATCTTATGCTCATCAAGGCTGCATTTATTTGATTTGATTTAATCAAAAATACAGTAAAAACAGGAATATTGTGAAATATTATTACAATTTATAATAACTGTTTTCTATTTTAATATATTATATATATGTAATTTATTCTTGTGATGCAAAGCAGAATTATCAGCATCATTACTCCAGTCTTCAGTGTCACATCATCCATCAGAAATAATTTTAATATGCTGATTTGCTGCTCAAGAAACATTTCTTTTTATTATCAATGTTAAAAAAAATATTTGTGTGGAAACAGTGATACATTGTTTCATTTATTTATTTATTTTATTTTATTTTTATTGATAGAAAGTTTAAAAGAACTGTAATAGAAATATAAATCTTTTGTAACATTTCTGAATATTATACATATCTTTACTGTCACTTTTGGTAAATTTATTGCATCCTTACTGAATAATATAGAAGCGTATTTCCACCACAAAATAAAAAAATATGATTGTGACTTTTTATCTCAAAATTCTGAGAAAAAAATAACTGTGAATTGTGAGACAGTAACTCAAAATTAAACTCGCAATTCTGAAAAGAAAATTCTTAATTGTGAGATATGAACTCGATTTGCAAAATAACAATTCACCATTATCTTTGTTATTTATTCATTAATTCATTCTGAGTTGGAAATAAAGAAATAAGGTATTAATTCCTTAAATAAATAAATAAAAACAAAAACAAAAATCTTACTGACCCCAAATTTTGTACAGTATTACTGTATATAATGGTCTTCTCAGTATTCAGCAACTTGGCCAGTCATAACAGAGGTCATTTACATATAGAAACTTAGTCTTAAAAGTACAGCAGCAAAGAACAGACAGTTAATTCTAAATATAACAGATAGGGTGGAAAATGGTCAGTGGACTTTAAATTTAAACTCCTTTATTTATCTTAATACAGAAATGCATTCCTGATGCACATGGATGGGCAACACATGAAGTCAACAGATTTAGGAAGTGTCTCTGACTCACGACTATATATCCTACTATGAGTCT